GGGGGCCTAGGCTGGAGCTGTGCTGGGGCCAGGCAGCAGAGGCACTGGAAGGGAAGCTATGGGGTGGGCTACAGGCCCCTGTAGCTCACCCCCCTTCCCAGTATCCCCACTGATTAATCATTTAACCAATAAGAGCAGTGATAACCGGTTAGATTACCCGTTATCCTCTAGCTCCCCATGCAGTGTGGCAGAGAAGGGGGGAAAAGGAAGGTTTCCTGGTGCCCCAGCAGGAATCAGAAGGCAGCAGGGCAGGCAGAAAGGAGGGCGAGAGGAGCAAAGAGGAGGGGAGGAGGAGAAGGGAGGGGAACTAATACCCATAGGGGAAGAGGAAAACAGCCAGAAGACTAATGACTCACCAATTAAGCAACTAGCTGCTCCTTCACAGGGTTCTCTCCCCCTCCCAGGGCAAGGCTTCATGTGGGCCGTGTTGTCTGGCTGGGTTTGCTTCCTTCCCCCCCAGTCAAAGGGCCCCAGGAACCAGGAGTGTCTCCCAGCAGCAGCTGTGTCCCAGCCACTGTGTTATCAGTTAATTGTTTAACTGATAAAATTAGAGAAGGTTATATGAATATTTCTTAAATGATATTTACATCCTGTGGATGATATAATTGGGGATGAGCAGGAGATGACTGGACTAGATAACCTCCAGAGATCCTTTCCAACCCTAATTTTCTATGATTCTAAAGAAGGATGCACAAAAGGAAGTGTGTAGGATTAGCTTTCTGACTGCTTCCTACAAGCTTCAACTCCATCACAAACGATACCAAACTTAATTACAGAGCACCCTCCAATTCAAAAATAATGTTCTTCCCTTAACTATGCAGCCTAATACAACATGAATAGGAAATGCTTTGATCTATATAAATGCTCTATTTGTATAGGTCAGTGGTGCTCAACTTATTTGCCTGACAGGCCAGATGGGCAGTGGAGGGGAGGAGACGTGTCCCAGCCCACACTTGGTGGCCCTGAGACAAAAAGGCATGACCTGATCGACACACAACCCCACAGGGCTTGGGGTCTGGGAAACTGGCAGCAGGGGAAGGTGGCTGTATTAATTGCTACTGGTTCCCCTCCACCAAATTTCCCAACCCATGGGCAGCGCAGACATAGGCCATCTGCTGAGCCCTGGTATAAGTCAATAAACAGAACGGATAAAGAGCCTGCTTAGCCCTTTTCTTCCCTCTACCTAACATATATCTCTTTCTAAAATCCATACTAGGAGCACATTAGATGCCAGCATTGCCTCTCACTATATAACTAAGTACTATCACATTACTCCAGGTTTAGAATAGTCAGCCATTTCTGGAAAAGAAAGGAGACTGTAATTGTTCCCTTGATGAACACATCCTTTTTTTTTTTTTTTTTTTTTTTTTTTTTTTTTT